GAGGATGCAGGGCAAGGGTGGGTCGAGGGGGAGTACTTCTCAGAGAAAAGAGCCGTTTAAAACACAATTGTTTTTCAATGACTTTGTCGGCTCCGCATGGCACAGCGCGGCACAGCACGGCGCGGACCCCCCCGGCTTCCCGTGGTTCCTCCTAGGGTCCTGGATCGCCTCGGCGGTTTCGCATTTCTGGGTGGCCATATTCACTGGGCAGCCCATGACGTTCCGCTCGACGGCCTCATGCTGCTTCACGGGCTCCTCGCCCTGGTGCGCCAGGCGCAGGCAGTGGAACAAACATCTGCCGTCGCGGGCGACCACCACAACGCGGCGCGCCATCGCGCGCAAGCTCGAAGCCAAAAGGTCGGCTTCCCCCCCAAGGCCCCTCCCGGGAGAGCAATAACACAGCACCGACCCGCCTGCCAGTCAGTCAGTCAGTCAGTCAGTCAGTCAGTCAGTCAGTCAGCCGCCCCAGATCTGAGGATGTCTCGAGCGGCAGCTCCCGAGTTGTGAGGATGTCTCGAGCCCCACTCAGGGCCCCCCTGAAGCATCCCGGGCTTGCTAATTGTACAGATCTTGGGCCCCTGAGAGCCCCATCATTGTGTGGCCTCGGGGCCCTCCGAGGCCATCTTGGGGCGGGCGGCGCCCACTAGATAGCACGCCAAGGCGCACACTAGATAGCACGACAATGGTGGCAAATCGCGATTAAAGAAACGCACTTTAACCGAAAAAAATGGACGTGATTTTATATACATGACCGAAATTCTGAGTAGAAACTCGAATTATATGGATTTTTCGTTAAAAAGGCATCCAAAAAATACCCCCCATTTCGGACAACTTTTACCCAAAAAAAACCTATAGATAGCAAACGTTGTATAAAACATTTGCTAACTATTCGTTGCGGACTATAGTCTCAGAATTTGAACAAAAACCCAAGATTTCTATCAAAATCTTAGGATTTACATTGAAACGTTAAGAATAATCGAGACTCTGGCCGAAAACTTAAGCTTTCTTAAGCATCGCCTGAGGTGTAGGGCGAAACGATATCAGCTTGCAGGCTATCGCGTGCCGCAGGGGCCACCGCCGCGATACGCTAAGCAGCAGTTCCTGACCGTATCCCACGTTGCACGGATCATTCAGCATAGTTACCTGAGCGGCCGGAGCTCACAGACGAGCGCCGTACCCCTCGCCCGCCTCGCGCCCGTCGCGGGCGCAGACTGGCCGATGTCCGCGGCGGCACACGTCGGCGGCGCCCCCGAGGGGGTGGCGCAGGAGGAGCGGCCTGCTGGGAAGCCGGAGGGGCTTCCCAGAAGCCAGGGGGGCCTTCTTAGAAGGGCCTCGCAGCTTCCGGGAGGCCTTCTCAGAAGCTGCCGGGCCCCTCTAGGAAGCCCATTCCACCTTCTCAGAAGGCAGCCCCCCTCGCGCCGGCACGGTCGTGGCGCCGCCAAGCAGTGCCAGCCACGGAGCCCACGCCTCCGCGGCCTCGCGTCTTTTGCAACGCAGGCCCCTCTCAAGTCCCAACCGCTTTCCCGAGGGGGGCGAGATCGTCTGGCAGGGGGGCCGAGAGAATCCTCCGCGAGGCCGGGGAATTGAACGAAAAAACCCTCCGCGTCTTCTCCTCCTCCTCCTCCTCCTCCTCCTCCTCCTCGCCCTCCCCCCTCATCCATCCTCCTCGCCCTCCTCCTCGGCACTGCGCACCTCACCACCCCGCTCCTCCTCCTCCCTCCTCCTCGCCCCCTTGACCGTATAGCCGTCTTGGCTCCAGCCGCCGGCCCTCGTCGAGATTGCTCTGCGCACCTCGACGGGGCAGCTGCCAGCCGCGCTGGCCCCGCCAAACATCGGCGCGCCGCAGGCCCGCCGTGCCTCAGGCCGTGGCTGCCTGCTGCTGTCCGGGGTGCAGCCGCGTGTCACGAGGTGTCTGTGGCGGGCGCTGCTTGCCGAGGCCGCCCCTTCCCGACGCTGCGCGAGGGCTCGGCTGTGCCATGCCCCGCGCGCGCATCGGCCGCCTCTCCTCGGCCGACGTGGCGACGCTTGCGGCCGCGGTGCATGGCGAGCGGCATGCTCGCGCTGTCCTCCGAAGGGCCCGCTGCTCCTCGCGTTGCTGCTGTGCTCCCAGCTGCTGCCTGGTGTGGCGCCGAGGCTGTGGTTGAGGCTTCGCCCGCGCCTGTGGCTGGCGCACGGGTGCCACTCACGATACGCTCCCTGGCGCCCATGTCGCCAAGTCTGCCCTGTGCTGGCTTCCGGCTGCGCCGCCGCCCCCAGCCCACGCGGCTCCGATGTGGTGGCCAACGCTGCCGCCTGCAACGCCTCCGCCTCCTGCGGCAACGGCAGAGGCCGTGGCGACACAGAGTTCAAGACGACAGCAGATGCAGAGGAGGCGCTGAGGGCGGCTGGGCGCGCTGCCTGGAGCCAGACCGGGGGATGCAGGGCGGCCCCTGGGGCGGACCGGGAGCCACCTCCCAACTGTCCGCCCATGCTCCCAAAGATCACGACCGCGGCCCTTGGGATGAGCCGGCCGCCACGTGACGCGGCCGGCCCCTCTCGCGAGGACGAGACTCGCGCCGCTGCTGCTGCTGCCCTCTCGCAGCCTGCTGTGGGCCAAGCGGCCGGCCCGCTCCTGGCGCTGGAGCCGATGCCGATCGTCGGAGCTGGCTGCGGCTGCTGCTCGATCCGCAGCCGCGGCGACGGCTGCCACTCCCGAGGACAGCGAGCCTGACGGCCAGGCAGGTGGCAGAAATCGAATCCGCCAGCGCTCCGGATCGCGAGCCACGCGTCGCAGTCAGCCGTGAACGCGTGCTATCGGTGCCCCTCCATCTGGCCTCCTGTGCGCAGCCTTTGCTTGCAGTGGAGATGAGCGTGTGCGTGTGTGCAGCGCATGCCAGCATTCCCTGCTTCACACGCCAGTAGCTTTCCTGATATGTCGGCCGTTCGCATCCATGCTGTAGTGAGTGCTGATATGTGTGATCGGCACGCGAAGAGGTGGGTGCAGCCAGGGCCTCTGCCAACTCCCCCTGCCACCCCCGCGCGATCCCCGCTCGAAAGACGACCTCGATGTGTAGCTGAGCGAATCGCAGCTGGCACCGGGCTGCAGTGGTAGAGCTCAGCACAGGGCCAATGCTGTAGACCTTACCTGCGTGATGCGTTGGCTCGTTTCCCTCAATCGTTCCGCCCCTTCGCTCCTGCTTCTCTGGCCCCCCCCGGGCTCCTGTGGGTCGGGTCTCGGGAGGCTCGCGTGGTCCTCTGGACATCGCCGCGCCTCCCGCCTTTGAGCCCGACGGGGCTGGTGGCACGAGAGCAAGAGGTTTTCGGCCTGCGTCGCAGCCTTCTCCTCCCACTCGCCCACTTCAACTTGAATACTCCCTCCCTCCGCCCCTCCTCCCGAGTGCCCTAGACGGGCACAGCAAGCCAACTGTTGCCGCTTTAGCGTTTCCGTCCAGTTGCCCATTACGGAGAGTGGGGATTCATGTGAGGATTGGGAGGGTCTGGACACCTTGCTTCGGTTCGGAGCGTTCCGTCCGCTCTGTCGCGGGGGTCCCATCGTACTGTATTGCAATTGTTTCTTGGTGCCCGTGCAAGACTATCTGGCTTATTATTCCCTACCTAGGCTCTGCCTACAGGGTTCGTACCCTGTTCTCTTAAAGGGCCGGGCAGTGCTCCCCGCCCCGGGCGGTTCCCCCAGGATCCGCCCCGCGGTTCCCCCAGTGACGTTCCCTTAGCTTAGCGTTGCTTATCTCAGCTTAGCATAGCTTATGTCATCTTAGCTTAGCTTAGCTTCATATTAGCTCAGGCTTATCTTAGTTTATCTTACCTTCATCTTAGCTTCACCGAGCTTTAGCATAGCAGAGCACAGCATAGCATAGCGTAGCATAGCATAGCGCAGCACAGCATACCATAACATAGCCCTGCATATCATAGCATATTTATATATATCTGTATATATACACATATATAAGCAGATAGCTTAGCTTTATCTTAGCTTTAGCTTAACTTTAGCTTTGTCTTAGCTGTAGTTTAAAGTTAAGCTAGCTTCATATTAGATTTAGCTTAGCTGTAGCTTAGATGTAGCTTAGCTTTAGCTTTGAGTTAGCTTAGTTTTAGCTTAGCTTTAACTTAGCTTTACTGTTACTACCAATGCTGCTTTCCTAGGGGCTCCAACTCCTAGGTAGGGTCGCACCGGGACAATTCTATGATGCTAGCCGCAGCGCCGCACTCCGCCGACAGGCCATCGGCTTCCACAGCTCTGCAATCCGAAGAACATCGCCCCCTTTCCCCCACTCAAAAGAGAGGCCTGGGCGAGGGCGTCACTCTTCCCGAAGCCAAGACCACAAGCACTGGAGGCATGGTCGGGGAGACGTAAGACCCGGGTACGGGGGACTCGGAAATCCCCGACGAGGTCGTCAAAAAATGACGAGGCCGAGCCTGCATTTTGACGAGGCCTCCCGCTGCAGACATCCCACGAAACTCCTCCTCGTCAAAATCCGAGGCGCGGTCGTCAAAAAACGATGGCGAACCCGAGTCCCGGCAAACCCGGGTCTTACGCTCCCCCGACATGGGTGCGCAACGGCCGCGACGGAGACGGAGACGGCGACCCGACGACGGCCGCCGCGGCGACGGCGACCGCCGGCGGCGACCGCCAGCGAGCGATGGCGGCGGCGACGGGCGGACCCTCACCTGTTCTCGGGCCTCATAGCTCGGGGGTCTCTGGCGGCCGCTGGGGACGATCCGGGCCACCCTGGAAAGCTCTCGGCGAGGAGGAGGAGGAGGAGGAGGAGGAGGAGGAGGAGGAGGAGGAGGAGGAGGAGGGGGAGGAGGAGGAGGAGGAGGAGGGGGAGGGGGAGGAGGAGGAGGAGGAGGAGGAGGAGGAGGAGGAGGAGGAGGAGGAGGAGGAGGAGGAGGAGCGCCAGGCGTTCACGGAGACCTCCGAGGAAACCTGCCGACAACTGCCGCAGCCTCGGCCGCGATGGCGACGGCGCCCTTCCGCGGCGGCGGCCACAGCGGCGATCGGCCCCGCAGTCTCCTGGCGGATGTCGTCGATGACTGCCTCCGAGTCCTCCACGGCGTAGCCCAGGGCCTGCAGCACGGTGGCGCCGATGGGCAGGTTCATGAGCACGGTGTCCTCTGCCGGCGGCCACGGGGGAAGGTGACCTGGCATCCTCGCGCTGCGAACAACCAGCACGGCGGGAAGTGGGCGGCCCTCCCTGGGCCTCATGGCGGCCCTCTCTGGGCCCCAGGGCCGGCAGACGACGACTCGGGGTGGAAGGGCTGGTCCCGGGGCCAGGGGCCTAGATTTCCAGGGGACCACGCATGTGGTGGCCAGGGGTGAGGGAACCCAGGCCTCCGACGATGCTGCCTTTTCCAGCTGGGCGCTTCTCGTGGACTTCGGCCTCCAGGTTTCCCCCGGGGCCGTAGGCGACCCGAAAAGGAGGAGGAGAAGGAGGAGGAGGAGGTGGTGGAGGAGGTGGTGGAGGAGGGGGAGGGGGAGGAGGAGATGGAGAAGGAGGAGGAGGAGGAGAAGGAGGAGGAGGAGGAGAAGGAGGAGGAGGAGGATGAAGAAGAGGATCGAGGAGGAGGAGGGGTCGCCTAAGCCCTTCGGAGAAACCCTCCAGGCTCGCCATCGAGCCCGGGGACCGGCAAGAGCGAGACTGGGGAGCAAAATACTGTGCCCCCGGGGGACGGGGCCAGACCTCTGGGGCCGCAGACTGCTCAACATCATGCGTGCGGACGTCTGGGGTTATGCTGTTACCATTCTGCTCCAGGACCACATCCCAGAAACAATTTCGAGTACCCAGACAAGTATCGAAACAATGTCGTACAAATATCGCCTCCGTGGGCCCGACACGTGAAAACCCTGCAGTTGCGGAGTTGCGGCACATTCCTGGTGCTCGAAATTATTTCTGGTGATCAAAGCTTACGTAGGTTGGAACATCATGAGCCTGGGGAGGGGGCGGAGACAACCCACCTCTAGAAGGGCTCAGTTCGGGCACTTCTTGCCTCAATCTCGGCTCAGGCCGGGCCGTTTCCGGGCCCAGGGGGGCGTCCCAAGAGCAGCCTGACAGAGGGCCCGTCCTCGGGGGACACCAACGCCAGATCCGGCACACGTGGATCGACGTTCTGACTTAGAACTGCGGTTGAAGCTCACCCCCAAACTGTGCGGACGGGCATGGCGAACATGCCCGCCTCATGGACGCAGGGTGGACAGTTCCGCGAAGGTGGGGCGGAAAACGCGGCGGCAACGCAGGGCGGAAACCTGCACCAAAGGAGCTTGAAAAACAGGGAGGGAAAGGGGCATCAGAGGGCTCGACATCGCCGTCAGGGAAGGAGTAGGAGTAGGAGTAGGAGTAGGAGTAGGAGTAGGAGTAGGAGTAGGAGTCAAGCTAGCCAGCTCGAGCGAGTCAAGCATGGCATGCCCAGTCCCACCCGCCCTCCCACAACATAAGAAGCAAAGCTGGCACAACTGGGGGCCGAAGTCACACCGGCCAGCCGGTTTGGTACAGCTGATGCGGCCGCGATGGCGGTTGCCGACGGGAACTGGCGAGCGCGTGTTGAATGCCGCGCACGCATTGCCAGACGAGTCGAGAATGGCCCGGTACACCGCAGGAAGCCAGAGGTGGCCGGAGGAAGCCCGACGGTCTGACAGGACACCCCAAAGCATTTTTGTGAAAAAGCATTGGGTTTTTGATGTTTTTATGTTGAAATGCTTGCAAACACACGGTGTTCGGTAGGATTCTGACATGAACGCGCGAGTGTGCTCTTTGTGGTATTTTTTGCACAGGATTCGCGGCCTGGGTGCATGACAGAGCATCGCGAGTGCACCGCGCGATGACGTGAAATCGCTGGATTTGACAGAATTCTTAAGATTCCTATGGTTTTCCTATGATTTCAGCAAGAGAGCCCGGGCGGGAAATTTGTACAATTTTTGTGAAAAAAAGCATTGGGTTTTTGATGTTTTTATGTTGAAATGCTTGCAAACACACGGTGTTCGGTAGGATTCTGACATGAACGCGCGCGTGTGCTCTTTGTGGTATTTTTTGCAATGGATTATCGCCGTGGACGACAGGACGTCCATGTCGAGAGGAAAAAATAAGAAAAATGTTGATTTTGTATTGTTTTTTACAGGTTAGGATGGGACCACCCGGATGCGCCCCTATCTGCCGGCCTGAGGGGGGAGTAGGAGTATATTCTAATAAGGAATAAGGATAGGAGTAGGAGGAGGAGGAGGAGGAGGAGGAGGAGGAGGAGGAGGAGGAGGAGGAGGAGGAGGAGGAGGGGGAAGGGCGCCGAGACCACCAACGCCCGCGCACGGAGCAGCAGCAACAGAAACATGGCGCCAGAGGAGGCTGCCGGGAGGCCGCCCCGAGGCGCCGCCGCCGGGAGCCCACCGCTCCACGGAGGCCGCCGGAAGGACCCAGAGATCCGACGTCGCGAGAAAAGTGCGACCCCGCGACGAATCACGACGGGAGCCCTGGACTTCTGTCGGGCCTGCCCCCCTACAGGGGGATTTTCGACAACAAATTCGCCGGCCCAACGGGCCAGAGGCGTGCTAAGATCTCCGGTAACTGGTTAACAATTCTCTAGTTCGCGCGCGCGGGGCGGCCCCTGGGGGTCCCTGGGCGGAAAGTACCCCGGCAAGGTCCTGAGAGAGTCCCGGGAGGAGTCCCCCAGAGCGCTCCAGGAGCGCTCCATGAGCGCACCAACAGGGCTCCGAGACGTCCCCGAGAGCCCCAAGAAAGGCCAAGAGGCCCCCAAGAGGCCCCCAAGATGGTACACGAGGGGTCCGACATGCCACAAGATCGCTCCAAGACGCCCAAGATAGCCCCCAGACGCCCCAAGAGGCCTCCAAGAGCACTCCCAAGAGGGCCCCCGGAGGCAAAATTCATTGTTTTTCCTTAGGTTTTTGAGAGATTTTGGAGCTTCCACCTGTTCGGCTTCCCGACGCCCCAAGACGGCCCAAGAGGCCCCCAAGATCGCCCCAAGAGGGCCCAAGAGGCCCCCAAGAGGGCCCCAAGATGGCCCAAGAGGGCTCGAAGACGGCCCAAGAAGCCTCCAAGACGGTCCAAGAGGGCCCCAAGAACGCCCCCAAAGGGGCCCCAGAGAGGGAACACGAAACAACATTTCGAGCCCTCGGCCCTAAGAAGCCCCTACGAGGCCCCAAGAGGCCCCTAAGAGGCCCCAAGAGGCCCCCACGAGGCCCTCAGGAGGCCCCCAAGAGTCCCCCAAGCGGCCCCAGGAGGCCCCCCAAATGCCCCCCCGAGCGCCCCAGGAGTCCCCCAAGCGGCCCCAGGAGCCCCCAAAGCGCCGCATTGACACCAGGCCCTCGGGCAAACGGCAGACATGAGACTGTATGGGCCGGCGGAATGAGCGAAGCGATTAATAAAAAATACTCCAAAAATGCACAAAAAAAAGTCTGGGGACTATTGTTTCAATATTTTTTGGCGGTCCGGCTGTGGCTCGCGCTGCCTTTTGGGTTTTTTTTTGGGGTGGGGTATTTTTCATTTTTCGTCGAAAATCCCCCTGTAGGGGGACACGCCCGACATAACCCTGGACCTGACGTCCGGATCTCCGGAGAGGCCACCGCCAAGAGGCCTCGAGGCCGCCACAGGGCGGCCACCGTCAGTGTGGCCGCCGCGGGGTCGCCGCCAAGAGGCCGCCGCGGGCCCGCCGCGGGAGGGGGCGGGCGCGCTCCTCGGGCAGGCCCGCGACCACGGGGAGGGCGTCCCACTGGCGGCCGCGGGCGCTCCCCGCGGCCTTCCCGGTCCCTCCTCCTCGTCGTCATCGCCGTGCCCGTCGCCGCTGTCCGCGGGGGAGTCGCCCTCGCCGCCGCCGCCGCAGGCGCCGTCGTCGGCCTCGCCGCCGCCGCCGCCGCCGCCGCCGCCGTCGTCGTCGTCGTCGTCGTCGTCGTCGTCGTCGTCGTCGTCGTCGTCGTCGTCGTCGTCGACGTCGTCGTCGTCGTCGTCGTAGTCGCCGTCGTAGTCGCCGCAGTCGTCCTCGTCGCCGTCGCCGCAGTCGCCCTCGTCGTCCTCGTCGACGCCGCCGTCGCCGCTATGGTCGCCGTTGTCCCTGGCTCCTCGTCAGCCCTCCAGCTTCCCCAACTCCTCCTCTTCCCACTCAACCGGCGACCCACTCCGCGACCCACCCGCGACCCACCAGCGATCCACCCGCGACCCTCCTGCGACTCGCCCGCTACCCTTCCGCGACCCAACCGCGAACCACCTTTGACCCGGCCCCTGCGGCGGGCAGCTTTAGAAAAAAATCGGGGCCTGCGACGGCCTTCTACACATTGGCGCTCGAGCCCCGCAGCCCCAGAAAGGCAGCCCAGGCGCCCCAACCACACTGTACTCGCAATTGCGGGGGGAAGTATGCTGCGTGCCGCGGGGCTGTGAGGATAGAGGACTGCGGAGGAAGCACGAGGAACTCTGCGGGGCACGACCACGGTGAGCGGGGCCGAATTGAGCGGGCGGCCCCACGCGACTGCGCCCACTGAGACCGCGGATGGGGACTCCTGTGGGGCACGAGGCGCGTAGGCGGTCTGCCGGCCTCGGCCGAGGGCGCCCGCGGGGGGGGCCGCAGGTGGAGCTCCTCGTGGGGCATGGTCTGCGCGAGGGGTGCACCGACATCGGCGGGGGCCAGCAGGTACTCCAGATTTCGTAACAAAAGGGAGGGGGTCTCAACCCTCCAAGACGAGAAGTGTTAGACCCCCCCGTGGGAGAACCCTCCAAAACATCGTCCCCAGACCCCCCCAGGCCCTCGAAGATAGCCTGGAAGAGACCCCCCCCCCGAAATGAGACCCCCCTCCCTTGATTACGAAATCTGGAGTAACTTCCTGCGCGAGCACGATTCGCGCGAGGAGTGCGCTGGAATGGGCGATGGCAGGACGAGGATGCAGGGGCGGAGTGGATGATGACGACACGAGGCTCTGATGCCCGCACCTTCGAGCAGGTCTCTCGGAGAGACTGATGTTTGCAGGCTGGGATTTCAACATGTGGGGGGAATACCTGGATCTTGCATGTCGTTGGAAACCTGTGCGGCAAGACGTGGCAACCTCTCGACAACATCGGGGCGTGCTCCCGCGGCGAGCCGCCAGGCTGTGGGGCACCCCGACGGCAGGAGTCGCGGTCGGCTAAGGAGGAAAAGGGAGAGAGAGAGAGAGAGAGAGAGAGAGGTCCCGAGCTCCTGGAAGCGCATCGCGTGTACGACGGCAGCAGAGGAGAAGGATGCATTGAGCAGGGACAAAGCGTCTCGACATTCCTACAGTCCTACCACGCAATGTTCTTAGAACCCAACAATATTCTAAGACTCGGAACAATGTTCCTAGAACATCAACCCGATGCGACAAAGCCAAACAGTCCCAACCAGAACTGTTCTGAGAACATGCCGTGGGAACCGGAAAAAAGATCTCATAACATTGTTTGGTAAGACTATAGGCACGCCAGGACGCTTCGCCACTGCTTGCATGGAGGTGGTGGGGAGCAGCATCGCGAACCCCGACGGCAGCAGGATGAGGGCGACCTTGGTTCTCACAGAGCTGCCAGGGGTCGTGGTCGTCGTCGTCGTCGTGGTCGTCGTCGTCGTGGTCGTCGTCGTCGTGGTCGTCGTCGTCGTCGTCCTCGTCGTCGTCGGCTCGTCGTCTTCGTTGTCGTCGTTGTCGTCGTCGTCGCTGTCGTCGTCGTCGCCTGGAAGAGAGAGCCCGGCGCCTGCATCAGCGTCTTCGCCCTCGTCTCCGAGGTGGCGCGTGCGATGATCGCCATCTCGGGGCAGTTCGCGCGCATCGCCTGTCGCCGAGGGGCTGCGGGCATCGTCGTTGCCGTGGGCGTCGTCCACACCGCCCTCTGCAGGCGCATCATGCAGAGCTTGCGGCGGCGAGTCTTCAGGTTACCCTCAGTGCATTAGGTGACGACATCCGAACCCTAGCCCCACCAACCATCGGTTCTCCTGAACCAAGGGGAGGCGGGGGTAGGATTCGGGCTTCGCTACGTGTTCGACGAATTCCGAACCCTACCCCCGCCGACAGTCAAGTTGTCTGAAGGTTCAGGGTTCGCCACCGATGTACGTTGGTGCACCCAAAAGGAAAGGAAGAGGGGGCGGGCACTTTCAGGAGGCTCAGGACGCTTCCAGCCCTCCGAGAAGCTTTGTAAGTATACTGTCTCCGAAGCCACACACAACTCCTCAGAAGGCCGAAGGGCTTCTGAGAAACCCCGCCGCCTTCTGAGAAGCCCTGCCCGCCCCCTCTCACTTCCCCCCTCGGCGCGCCGCCGACATGTGTAAGATACGGCTGCGGCGACGATGACGTCCGGTCTCCCACTGCAATGGCTCCCGCAGAGAGTATTGTTCTGTACTCTCCCGCAGTGAGCCACAACCAGGGGGCATGGTATTGTCGAACCGTCTCCCTGCGGGGATGTTGTACTGTCTCCCGCAGGGGGCATTGCATTGCATCGTCGTCATCATCCTGTAGAAGCCCTCGCGCCATACCGGTGGAGGCATTCACAGCCTCTCTACCGGGGGATGAGAATCGGCCACACCATGCAGACAATTGTTATCTGGCAGCCCCCCGAAGTGTTATGAACGGCCGCGAGACAATATGGTGTGAATATCGAGTGAATATCGAGTGAGGAGTCGCTAGATCCAGCATGAATGACCACATGGCGCCCGTTCAGAACGTCAATCTTGGAGCCTATTGCGCCGTCCACGCCACCTTGGAGAGAAGAGGGAGAGAGAGGACAAAAGCAATCAACATCGACTCAGGAATTCGGGTCGACTCGGAATGTGCGCCGGACCAGGCTACATCGGCACGGAGTCGAAATCGGATCGGACCAGCAGCGCAAGGATGCACAACTCAGCCGTACAAAGCATCGGGCCATCTCGGGTCGTCGGGACCAGCCGACAATTCGCCCTTCGACGTATGGAAGACACCGTCGTCGTCGTCGTCGTCGTCGTCGTCGTCGTCGTCGTCGTCGTCGTCGTCGTCCGTTCTAAGGAAGTTGAGGAACAAAGAGACAAGAACGTCGCAGTGAAGTCAAAAGCCCCTGCCCTTCATCCCTTCCCTGCGGGGAGGGAGGGGTACGGGGGGTGGGGGTCCCGGGTCAGAATACCGCCATCCAGGGTCCCAGCAGGTCCCCAGGGGGGTCGCCAGCGGGGGGGCCCAGGGGAGGTCCTGCCTTCAGGGTCGGCGGCACCAGCCGTGAGGCCTTCGCAATAACAGAATCCAATCGGATCGGACCGGCCAGCATCGACATTGAACCAGATCGGTCGAATCGATATGTAGCCTGGACCGGTCGAATGCACCAATTGTGTGCCAAGTAGAAAACAAAGCCACGACCGAAGACAAAAGGGATCCGATGGTACGCAGGAGTCCCCTGGAAGGTCGGAAGATACGTAGTACAACAAGCTGGCGACTGACTGGTAGATTCTCGTTCTGGGGACCTTCCTGGAGCCACTCACTCCACTCAATCGTCGATGCTGCGTCGAGCGTCCGCCGTCTTGAGTCAGATATGAATCCAACTTGGACCGAGCCAATCGAAATAGTCGGAATTGAACAATGTTCGAGCAGATCCGTTAGTGCCCGCCCGGGAAAGTCACCCAAACGAACATCTACTGTGAATGCACGAGGGCACCCCTGATTTTGCAGCGTCGGCCTACTCATCGGCCGCGACTGTGGACCACAGGGTGGACGAAACGGGGGATAAACGACGGGGGGCATTGCGAATCAGCTCACGCAGCTACCACATATCAAAGCGCCTGGCGGCGGGGCCGAAACCGAGCGCGCGCGTCAACTCTCGCACATCCCCGTCTCGCCCGACCCGATTGCTGCCCCCCCCCCCCTCGTCGGCCTGGACGATCGCCGTCGACGCCGTGATGTCCGAGGGCGTGACCTCGGGAGCACACAAGGCGGCAACAGACCGCCCCCCCCGAGACTCCCTGGGAACGGCTGAGCGGGACGCTGGATGGGCCTGTCGCCCTTGCGGCGCTCCTGGGAACCCCAGCCGCAGCAGGCCGCACCCAAAAAGTGCACCACGGGCCCAACAGCTCTCTCCCCCCGGCCCCCCCTTGCAAAATCGCGAGGAAGAGCATCTTAGTCAGAGCCGTGCCTGGACGGCACATCGGTTGCAGTGCGCAACTGCTGCACGCGCTGCGTATGGCGCAGCGGCGTGTCCCTCAGTAGCCCTGAAGGACGAGGAGGAGGAGGAGGACGAGGAAGAGGAGGAGGAGGAGGGGAGGAAGAAGGCCTCCGAACTCGTCTGGACGGAAGAGGAGGAGGAGGAGTAAGAAGAGGAGGACGGAAGAGGAGAGGAGGGGAGGAAGGAGGAAGAGTATGTACAGTAATGAAATACTGGAAGCATCGGGCTAGGAAGCACTCCTGACGTCAGTCCCTTGAACCAAAGCCGCGGGTCGAAAAAATCCAGACGCTTCGCGTGGCCCCACTAGCTTGTTTTGCCCGTCCCGTTTGACGCCGCCTGCGCCTTCGCTTGCGGCTGCGACAAAAAAGTGGCCCCACTAGCCCATCCAGAAACGATGGCCAGAGGAGTTGCCTTGATCAGGGGTGTGGAATAGCATGCAGTGGGAGAAAGGGATGGGTAAGACGTCGTACCCCAAGAGGGGGAGGATGTAGGAGGAATAGGTAGAGGGGGAGGAGGAGTAGGCAGATGAGGAAGAGGAGGAGGAGGAGGCGGAGAAGGAAGAGGAGAGCGAACAAAAAAGCCAGAAGCCTCTTCGATGCTTCTCGGAATCTCTTCGGATGACTCTTGGCAGATCTTTGGAGCCCTCTTGGGGCGTCTTGGGGGCCTCTTGGCGGTCCTGGAGGCCTCTTGAAGCGTCCTGGGTGCCTCGAGGGGAGGCCATTGGTGCCTTCTTGGGGAGCCTCTGGGGGACCTTCGGGAAGCCTCTCGGGGCCTCCTGGGCGACTCTTGGGGCCACCTTGTGGCACTCTTGGTAGCAGGGGGCCTTCTTGGGGCCATCTTGGAGATCGATCAAAAAGAGGGAAAGGGGCTCAATTAGGGCTCCCCCCTGGGATGCCGAAATGGCCCCCTAATCACAATACGTAAGTTCAGTGATGCATGCCCTCTCGCCGAGGCCATCCTGGACGCTCAAATGGGTCGTAGAAGTCCCCTTCCAGACCAAAGGGGGGAAAGGGAGGGGTCAAAACACTCTCCCCGCTCGCAAGCCGTCTCGTTCAGTCCGACACATCCTCCCACCACATAAGTAACACCCGAGCCGCAGCATGTTCAGCGGTCGTCTTTGGATGGGCAGTTATTGGGAGCCCAAAAAGACCCCATGTGCGCGACGCTGGGGCGAGGTGTGCCACGACTGCCGGGCGTGCCAGGCGCGCCAGGCCCCCCTGGGGGCCCAAGCGTGCTAGGCACGCCTGATGCGCCAGATGCGCCACGTGCTCCACGTGCGCGATGTGTGCCGCATGCTCGAGCCGAACCAGGTGCGCCAGGTCCGGAACACGCGCAAAGTGTGCCAGTTGCGCCCGCGCACGTTACTCTGCACATCGGGGAACACGTTGACCCCCACCACCTCTGTCGAAAACCAATGAGCAATCGTGGCGGGGTGGCCATCATAGCGTCTGGTGGGCCTGCGCACAGCAGGCAATATGCCAGCACGCCCGCCGTCTCTGTCAAAAACCAATGCAAGGTGATCGCGGGGTGCCCGCGCATGATTCAGAGTCTGCCGCGAAATGTACAGTGTATTGTTTTTGGTGACGAGGATGGTGGCCCTGCGCGCAGCAGGCATTATGTCCCCCCTGGCCGCTCCGAACAACACAAACAATACAAAGTGCTGGCGGCCCCTCCGAGCATGACCCAAGATTTTTCCTCAACATGAATTTCGCATTGTTGTTGGCTGACGCAGGTGCCTCTGCATTTTGGTGGAGCCTACGTTGGAGGACTTCCACACTGCGATTATAAAATCCGCCGATCCGGCGTGTGAGCTCAAGGGGGTGGGGGTGACCGGGGTGGCTTTGCCGGGGAGGGGGAGGGGGAGGGGGGGGAGGGGAGGTGGGGGGGTTCTGGTGGCGTGGGTTCTGGTGGCGTGTGGGGGGGGGGGGAGGGGGGGGTCCAAAGGCGTGGGTTCTTGTGGCGTGTGGGGGGGGCTTGCTTTGAAGACCATTGGATTTCCTTGGAAACGCCTCAGGACGCTTGGTTTGTCAGGGAGGGGGGAAAGGGGGGGGGAGGGTTCTGGTGGCGTGGGTTCTGGTTGCGTGGGGGGCGGGGGTCTGGTGGCGTGGGTTCTGGTGGCGTGCGGGGGGGGGGTGTCCAGTGGCGTGGGGTTACTTTCAAAACCATTGGATTTCCTTGGAAATTGCCTCAGAACGCTTGGTTTGCCAGGGAGGGGGGGGGGTCTGGCGGTTTCTGGGGGTGTTTTTACAGAAGGACCCTCTGTAGATGCGCTCAAGGGGTGGCGCGCGGGCTTTGCAGCTTTTACAGGAAGACCCTCTGCAGATGCGCTCAAGGGGTGGCGGATTTGGTGTTTTTACAGAAGGACCCTCTCTAGATTCGCCCGAGGGGTGGCGGCTGTGCTGCTTATGCAGAAGGACCCTCTGTAGGTGCGTTCAACGGGTCGCGCGTGTATTTTGCACCTTTTACAGAAAGACCCTCTGCACATGCGTTTCAACTGTGTTTGCTGAGAGGTGTGCCTAAGGGTGAAATGAATCTGCGTAGTGTTTTTGCGCAGTGTTTTTGCGTAGTGTTGTTGCGTAGTGTTTATTCGCGTAGTGTTTTTGTCGCGTGGTGTGTTTTTGCGTAGTAGTTGATTGCGCAGTGTTTTCGCGTAGTGTGTGTGTGTGTGTGTGTGTGTGTGCGTAGCGCATCTGCGTAGTGTTTTTGCGTAATGTTTTTGCGTCGCGTACTCCGGGCACGGTCCTGAGCCTCATGAGCCTCCTGGGGTTTTCGAAACGTCCCAGAGCTGCGCCAAACACCTTGCTCCCAGAATCCCCATGAACACCCCTGCGGAACGCGCGCAACATGTCACGACTCTTCGATCGACAAGAAATACAAGACGTCACATGTTAAGGCCGCCGTGCTCCCTCGTACGTTGACCACCGAGATAGCTGGGCGGGCGTGGTGGCGAGACTTGCCGCAGGCAACTGGATAAGGGTGAAAAGGCCCTTGGACGCTCAATTCGGATGTCGTTGGACTTCACATTGGGCACGGGTGGGCCGAACATTTACAAATGCAAGGGTGACCTTGTAAAAGTACTGTGTCCTAGCGATGGGTTTTGACAGAAGGATGCGCTGCGATGACGGGAATCTTTGACGAATCTCCGCAACCGTCATCGATACAGAGCGAGGAGCGGCCATGTGAGGAGGTGCAGGAGGAGGAGGAGGAGGAGGAGGAGGAGGAGGAGGAGAAGGAGGAGGAGGAGGAGGAGGAGGAAGAGGGGGATAATGAGGTAGAGGAAAAGGAGGAGCATGAGCAGGAGCAGGAGGAAGAAGGGAAGGAGGAGGGGGAGGAGGAGGGGGGAGGAGGAAGAGGAGGAGGAGGAGGCCTTGCGATGACGGAGAAGGTCGAACGACACCCGCAGCCGGGGGCTTCAGTCTTGAACGCCCACGCCCGCGCCGCCGTTGCGCCGAAACGGCCGAAGCCTACCAGACGGGGTTTTCATCCCCTCCTCCTCCTCCTCGTCCTCCTCCTCCTCTTCCTCCTCTTTCTCTTACCTCCTCCTCCCTCGGCCCCCCTCCTCTTCTTCCTCCTCCAACGCACACTACCCGATATCGGCACAAAGTCCCTCGTCCACCTCCTCATTGTCCTCCCCTTTCTCCTCCTCCTCCTCCTCCTCCTTCTCCTCCTTCTTCTCCTCCTCCTGAGGGTGCAACAACAACCTGCGTAATTTGTTTGCGTAGTGTTTTGCGTCGTGTTGTTTACGTAGTGTTTTTGCGTAGTGGTTTTGCGTAGTGTGTTTCGCGTAGTGTGTTCGCGTGGCGCATCTGCGCAATGTGTTTGCGTAGTGTTTTTGCGTCGTGTATTCGCGTCGTGTATGTGCTGAGTGCGTCTGCGTAGTGTAATGGCGTAGTGTATTTGCGTCGTGTATGTGCTGAGCGCGTTTGCGTAGTGCATTGGCGTAGTGTGTCGGCGTCGTGTTTTTGCTTAGTGTTTTTGCGTAGTGTTTTCGCGCAGTGATTTTGCGTAGTGTTTTTGCGTAATGTTTTCGCGAAGCGTTTTTGAGCAGTGTATTTGCGCAGTGTGTTTGCGTAGTGTTTTTGCGTAGTGTACTCGCGTAGTATATTCGAGTAGCGCATCAGCGTAGTGTTTTTGCGTCGTGCCTTTGCGTCGTGTATTCGCGTCGTGTATGTACTGAATGCGATTGCGTAATTGATTGGCGTAGTTGATTGGCGTAGTGTATTCGCGTCCTCCTCCTCCTCCTCCTCCTCCGTCTCCTCCTACTCCTACTCCTATCCGCGGCTGCCTGGCATCGGTCCTTACATGTTCCTCCTCTTCCTCCTCCTCCTCCTCCTCCTCCTCCTCCATATCAATCCAAAGTTCGTCCTCCTCCTCCTGCTCCTCCTCCTCCTCCTCCCTGCGCTCCAGTTCTAGCAAATATCGGTCCAAATTCCCCCCCCCCCCCCCCCCCCTCCACGCCTCCGCAACTGCCCGCCTCCTGCGGCGAACGTGACGTGAGACGCGGGCGAGGCGCTGCGTTGGGATTCGGGCGTTTTGTTTCCGTGTGGTAGCGCGCCGACTCGGGGCGCTCCTGAAAACACTACGTAAAAACACTACGCAGAATGAATGCCCTCGTGGGCATCGTCTCGCGCCAGTTCCGCCCGAATCCGCAGCCCCCCACGGCATCGGGCGAAACTTTCCAGAGACGCGGGCGACGCGGCATGCTGCTGCGCAAGGGTTTGCGCGCGTTGGCGTGGTGGCGCGCCGACTCGGGG